CTTTCCAAATAAACCTTCCCCAGATCTTCAACTTCTAAACCCTTTTAAACCCCTTTTAAACTCGAATTCCATCCAGCAGGGCCCCTCCAATCACGCGTACTCTCCGATCTCGGACTCTGTAAACTCTGCGATAGGTCCCACGACGACAGTATCAACCGGAGGAACGCTCCATCGTCCGTCGGCGCTTGCGCTCGTAAATTCGAGTCACGTCTAGCTGGGCTGCGTTCGGAATCAGATGTAACTGATAATCGTCGCGGCATCTTTACGATTATTATTTGTTCCTGGCCGCGTCCGCGGGCCAGAGAGTCAACAACGCGGTTTTGTAGACGATGGCAATGACCCGGACGGTCGTCGAGGATCCGCTGCGTCTCTCGATTGGGCCCAGCTGGCGCACTCACGGCGGTCAACAAATAGATTTCGCGGGTTCCACCTCCGGGTTAGGGAAGCCTCTTACTTCCCCGATGCGTTACAAACCGAGGATGAGTCAAGCGACGCCACTTGAACCCGCTGATACACCGGTCACTCTTCTATTTTAATAATTGCACCGCACCTCTAATTTTACCTCGCCCGCGCTGACACTAAAGCTGCCAACGGTGGACTGGTGCCTATTGCACGTGCTACTGGGAGCTTGTGCTTAGGAATTAGGGAAGGAAAGGGTGATATTTCAGTAGGTGTTAACAAATATTGCGGTGGAAGCTTTGTTTCGGTTGGACTTGGATGTAAAAGTATTAAAATTTAATATAAATATTGAATCGACGTTTCGAGTGCGTTTCAACCCTCACTGGATTTTAAGCTTAGAAAATAGGAGAAAAAAGGGCCAATCATTTTATGATCTACTTCTATAATTATTTACAAGTATTGTGGCCAAAAGCTTTGTTTCATTCAAACTTACCTTTACTCTCAATTTCCGTTCCTCAAAAAATGTCATTAATAAACATTGCTGGATCATCCTTGAATGTATTTCCTAAGACGTCATTCGTTCCTAAGGGGATTTCTTCAGGATGAGGAATCAGCAATGAATCTCCTTCAGCAGGACCACTAAAGAAAAACATAATCGTCAGTACAATTTTTAAAGGATAGCTTTTAGCTTCTTTCCAAGTCTTTTCCTTACGTTCGACGATCTCAGAAATTCTAGAAGACGATAAGGATCGTTTCCGATCGCGGTGGATCGAATCGATCGCGCCGTGCTCCTCTCTAGCGGCTAGTCGATGGAAAACACCTGGAATTCCCAGTGGGTGGACCAGTTCTCCGTCCCCGAAGATACGACCGTGCTGTCCTTTCACGTTAACGCGCGAAACTCGCTCGTTCGCCGTAGATCCTGCGTCTCGTGTTCGCAGCGAAGCGATATCGAGCCAACGAGACGCTCGTGTACAGGATATTGAACAAAAATGGGAAAATCAAGGGAAAATTAATATTATTGGATTCGATGGGAAATTCGTTTCAGTAACCCAGGCTGAGAAAAATGAAGGAGAATTTGGAACGGTTGAAATGGGAAAATCGATTGGGATTGTTTGGATTTTTTTAAAGGAAATGTGTTAACAATGATGGCCATTGTTATATACACACACCTGATCTGACACTCTGCCAGATGAAAAATAAATGGAGATTAATAAATTCAGTCTTCCTTGCAAGCTATTTGCGTCACGATTTTTATTAGACGATTAATATTCTTGATCTTCGTTCCTAAGGCCTTTGAAAGCTACTTAATATTCGACGTGGTTAATTAAATTCTTTATGATTGAAATTGAACTGCGTGTTAGTCTTCATTTATTTTTAGAAATATTTGAGCAGAGATTTTCTTTAAATCATTTTTAGATTTGATAAGTAAGAATCCAACGAACAGAAAACCAATACAGAAATGATATTCTATACAGAATAAGTGAAAATATGAACCAACAGAAAATCGATAAAAACAACCTAACTTGGAACTTGTTAGAAGAAATATAGCAAAGAATTTTTATATTTGATAAGTAAGAATTCAACGAACAGAAAACCAATACAGAAATGATATTCCATACAGAATAAGTGAAAATATGAACCAACAGAAAATCGATAAAAACAATCTAACTTGGAACTTACTAAAAGAAATATAGCAAAGAATTATTGCCTGTATATTTCAAACTGGGAAATCAATTTTCATGCAGAAAGTTTTTCAGAAAATTGCGAAATCGTTGCAAGTTTGATATCAAACTACGTCAGCAATAAAAATATACCAATTAATCGTCACGAGTGTGGATCGAATGGACGACAACTAGGAGCAAGTGATTCATCTCTAAATCACGTAAATTAAATATCGATCAGCGGACAAGGAAACGCGTCGTTCTCTGATTTAGATCTCTTTTATTTCCGAAGCTTGTATGCACATATAACGATCAACGGTGTAACAATACTGTCGCTGCTTGGTCGCAACCAAAACTCTCTCTTTTTCTCACACGTTCTGCATTGTTTTTTTTTTTTAAACTTTCTTTCTAGTTTTCTCTCTCTCTCTCTCTCTCTCTCTTTCTCTCTTTTAACAAATTTCCGTAACACTCGTCTCCTCAATTCCTTCGTTACAATTCTTGAATCACTCAACCGATACAAAGCAGCCGATTACCGGCTAACCAGCTCCGTTGTTATGCAAAATACACCAGTCGCTCGTTTCACGTAATTTTTTAATCGAGCAACGAGTCCCGCAATGAAATCGTCGCAGAGGCCTGCCTGGCCGCCGGGTCAAGAAGAACGCTCGTAATACTGCTTGGTTCGCCTTCGAATGAAACGTCAGTACAGCAGAACGTCGATTATCGTAACCTCGGGAAAAATCAGAACGTCGATTAAACGAAATGTCGATCACGGAGCCTTCTTTCGAAAGGGTTAAGTCCTAGCTAAAGTAAAATTTCCTACACTTAAGATAAATTTATAAACATTCTATTTTTATCAAATCTAAATGTACGATCTATACTTTTATTTCTTGGGGCGTCGCGGGTGCGAAAGCTGGTCGTCTCTGATCTAGACTCTGATTTAGACTGCCGTATTAATTTGAGGAGATTGAAAAGTGGAGATTAATTTTAATTTTTCAGGAATCTTCTCTTTTGGAGACGACTAGGTTTCGCTACATAGGCTTCGATTTAATTTGGTAGATATTCCAGAATAGTTCCCGACTTGCACCTAAAGCACAGAGGAAGTTAATTTTAAAGTGCTCCAATTTGAGGAAAAATCATTTTTCTCTGAAAGTCTACAGCAGGTCTTGTCTATACAGAGCGAAGAATTATTTTATTAAGAAATTCTCTGCTCCGTGCAGACTAGTACAGCGAATCCTGTCTAAGAGGCATCGGCTAGGATTTGCTTTACCCCTCTTAGAAATCAATGACTCGATCACCCTCGAGCTCCGAGCTCCTAAACATCAACAATTAATCATTCCCAAAAATTGAAGGGGATAACGCCTCTTAGACAGGACTCATTTCATCCCTTCTAATTCCCAATACAATCTATCGTCTTCATTCGAAACAAATCAAAATTTCTCTATCATACCGTAAATCGAATTCAACTAATTTCAACTGTTGATTTTTAACCTCCGTCCATATCGTACAAAAATTCATTTATCGGGACGCTTCAAGTCCCCATTGCCTCTGATAATCAACTTCCTACC